CACACATGTAAAAGTCATGCTTCTGATCTACCATGTGTGGCGGCATGCTGAGACCATATCTTCTGGATTGAGTGCGGCCACACTGTCAACTTTTATGACTCGGATGCATAGGTTCTTAATCATCATTTGGTATTAGCATGGTGAAGTCCGTTCATGCTTTCAAACGAATGCTGCGAAAATGCTTGCGAGGAAAAAGATCTAATAGATGGAGTGAAGGAAACCGGTTCAGCACAATTTGGCTTGGAGATGAGTGAAATTACAAATGTTTCGCCACCTTTCTATTTCCAGAATGATTTCTGCTACAAAACACGAGAAAATGCTCTAAATATGGGGCCCCCAGGGCGTTCCACCCTCAAACCCTACTCTAATTCTTCAGGCCCATAAAGTATCCCAGCTCATCAGCCTCTTGAGACGATCGCTATTTCAAGCGGTTGTTCGAAAGATGTCCAGAGGTTTAGTCGTGCCCATCACCGGTACTGTAAGCCATCGCAGCCGACTGTCAATAGACGCAGCAGTAGCACTTGCCCCCAGACGTAAACATGAAAAATATCTTCCGGAACCCGAAAAAGCATAGACCCCAAGCCAAGGCAGCCCTAAGCCCGACGCTGCACCACCAGAGCTTGCCAGTTCCGGGACGCTGTGAACCCCGTCACCATCGGAAGGCTGTGGAACGATGAGGCCATGCGGCGCAAGAGGTTTTTTGGAGTTGCGGCGGTTTAGAGGATCTCGTGTTGTTTTCATTTAAGATTTGCTCCTTGGACCTTAGCGACTCTAGGTTCAGCTTGTACCTTCGGTTCCAAGGTGGGCAGGCAGGAAGCAAGGAAGCCGGAGAGAGAGCGTTGGACAGACAGAGTGGAAAAAGGGAACGAAGGGACTTCGTGAGGGAGTGAGGTAAGAGACTGACCGGCCCTAGCCAACGATGACAAAAAGCATCCGCTCAAGCCAGGAGCAGCAACACCTCGGCCAGCTTTAGACATGCCTCTGGTTTTAAGCGGTACGGTGATGTGGTGGCGCCTTTAGGATGAATCGCTAGAGTCGCTAGAGCTTGGAGCCCGTGGAGAATCTTGATCCTGCAGACGAGGTGCCCACGTCATTCCGTCGCAGCTGCAAGCAGCAGTGGAAGTAGAGAACCTCACAAAACTGCAGAGTATGGAGTTCAGTAAGCCGAAAAACAAGAAGCCTTTCTAGACCCTACGCAAGCATCCCTAAACTTCCTAAACCTCTAAGACCTAGGCAAGCATCCGCCGAAGCCTGAAACCTTCGGAGTCCTGGGTGCCAGGAAGGCCAAACCCTTTGGATCTTTCGGGACACCCTTCGAAACTCTGAAGAGCGCAGCATGTGGTAAGGTCACGGCGTATCTTCTGGAGCCCTGGGCCTCAGTTGCTCATAGTTGCTCATTGTTGAGGGATGAAGGCTCTAGTTGTATGTTTCAGAGGCTTCTTGGTGAAAGTTGTTAGGCCCAGGTTTGGGAGGGGCTGCAATGTCGATCATTGGAATGCCCACAGATTCCTTGAACAGCACTGCCAAGTGCGCACCTCTCAGGGACCCATAGGGACCCCCACAGGTGCTTCGAGATGTGTCGAGGGTTTCGGGGCGAAGGCGCTTCCGGAAGATCTTCATCACAGCCCGGCCCATGCACCTCTTGAAAGCGTGCCCCCTTCCTGTGGTTTGGGCTCTTGGCTGGAAGCCGTGAGGCCTGACACCCGCCGGGCCACCTCCGACAGCATCCGACAGCCTGTTTCAACACATGGTTGTGATAGGTCTGAACCCTAGAACGGGGTAAGTTGGGTAGTTGGGCCAGCTGGCAACCTTTTGCAGCAAAGCAGGCTGGCGGCTAACATGGGGGCGTCATGAGGCTGGTGAATGTGGAGGTCTGAATAGCTAAGATTATGTCCTTCTCGCTACAAGTTTATACGGTAACGTACCCCACTGCTCCCCGAAAAACTGCTGTCATTCTTGAGGCAACTAAATTTCACTCTGCAGTCTTTTGCCTGCGCCACCATCGCAGCCTTGAGACCGCCACTGGAAGGTACGAATCGGCCGTGGTGTGCCGCATTCAGAGACCTCAGGTTCACCTCCGGGCTTTCTAGGGGGGGTTGGGATCTAGCGGAGTCTAGCGACTTGTGACTTAGGCCTTTTGGGATTATTTTGTTTTGGGCTTTCTGCCTTCAATGGCTTACTTAGGGTGTCGTCAACATCAATGTATGAGCGCGAGAGTGGTGCGGTCAAAATGAGACCATAGTTTTGGCGAGGCCAAAGTTGTAGGCCAAAGGTGCCAAAAGCCGGGCAGGTTTGGCGGATGCTGTCAAAGGACTCCAAGTCCTTCTATGTGCGTCTTTCGCAGAGGCGGCACGGACGTAGCGTACTCGGGATGGGACTTGAGGGTCGGGAAGGTACACTGAAGGATATAGGGGCATGCGAAATCCATCTTGTGTTTCACTTCTCGTCTTTTGAATGGGGGTCAGGGTTCAGTTAGCAGATGCTCATGCAGGACGAGCATGACACAGCATGACCATCAGAGTCTTTCTAAAGATCCTCACTCTGATGGCTCCCACCACTTTTGTCAGGCCCAAGTAACTCGAGGCTCCCCGGCCGCGGAAGTGGTCCTGTTTTTGCCGAGGCTCATGGACCAAAACTGTAGACCGAATCGACACACCGAATTTGGGCTGGCTACCTCGCCTCGCTTGTGGATCATGCCATATGGGCTGTGTAACCGGCACCCAGTGCTTAATGGTTATGGACGCAACGCCCCCGAAAAATGTTCTGTAGTGGCGTCTATAGGTCCAGCCAAACAGGGTTGCAACCGGGAGGCCAATCACGACAACCTGTTTTGGATCACTTCTGTGGCTTTACCTGCCATCTGACCTGAGCATTCAGAAACCAGGAATCCACGTGTTGCATGGGCAGCATTGCGCCAATCTCCACCTTTGCAAGTGCCTTGGTTGGGCTTGCACACGCAAAGTTCACAAAGTTTAACTCACTCGAAATCTCGAAATCCTCCCGCCCGCAGAATCGTCACGGAATGGGAACGGAGCGTTCGCACGCTTAGGATGTGAGGTTAGTACCTGAATCGTAACCAAAGAAACGAGACCCTGTAAGTTTAAGTTCTCTCACGAAGATTCTGCCAAAATCAGCGTGGACCTGGGCAGAGCCCCAATTAGGTTTTGGCCCAAGAGGCCCTCAAACCACGGAGGCCCTCTTATCCGCATCTTGTCTTCTGAAAACGGGAGAACCTCTCTTAGCTCATCGGGGAAAAGCAGAGCTTTCGGTTGTTCGCGACCTTGAAAGCTCCATCTCCAACAACGCCTGAATCGCAGAACCATGCCCCAGAAGCTCGTAAGCCTTCTGCACCTTGGAAGCCTTATACTCTAAACGAGCACCCAAACCGAAGGAGACTCCCAAAGCCGAAGCCCGAAACCAATCCACTTGAAGGCATATCGCTGACAAGGGCAAAGAGCCAGGGCCTTGCAAATGCATGGGCTAGACCTAAAGCAAGCTCAACTACACAAATTCCTTGTCTAACACAGGAGGCCGACATCCCAGACCTTAATCCGCAACCCGCACATCTCAAGCTCTGTCCTGCACACATAGTTCCGACACGAACACGTCCTCGTAAGAGCACTGCAGGACCATACAAAGTCTTGTAAACCTGAGCCATTAAGTCCCCGAACTAAATCCCCGACCTTTGGATTTTGTTGGGCTAACATGATGCCAAGACCGAGGAAGAAGTGGCGAAGTTTCGGTTCCTGGTGTGGTTCTTGGCCACCCCAAGAGTAATTACTCCAGTAACCTAGGCCGATCACTGCGGCTCCTTTGATGAGCCCGTGCGCCAACCCCAAATTCCCCAACCCCACAGCTCGGCCGACAGGACCTAACCCCGCAGCTTTGCCCCCAGAACATGCGTCCGAAGCGCCATCAGGATCGAAGATCTGCGATCAGACTCTTTCGCTCGGAGTTTCAGTGGTCACCCCGCGGTAGAACCGCAAACCGCCGCAAGCCCTGAACCCGGAAAGGCCAGAAAGCCTGGAGCATCGGGCCGAGGCCGTGTCAGCTGCACTGGGACGTCTCGCGGCACTTAGCAGACCTTGGAGAGGCAACCGAAGTCTTCGGTCTCAGGTTATAAAAATGATACAGGTCGGGTTTTAGGCTGCTTGGGCGCTGTTGAAACAGCCTCGAATTCCAGGTTTTGTGGTATCTTCCAAACACGGATCTGGCGTCATTAGTTTCCATGGGTCTCCGACCAAGGACAGACGGGGCTTGTGTTTTTTCAGTTTAAAATTCGGTTTTTGGGGGGTTCAAGAGTTTGATACAGTCCTCAGCTACCGGTACCTTGTTTGGTGCGAGGATGCCTCCTTCGAGCTGCCATAGGTGATGGGGGTCTACTTGTAGCCTGCACGCCCCTGCGGTCAAGAAAGCTCCAGCAAGCACGCGGACACACGCGAACAGCAGATAGTGCATCAATCCTTGCAGATTGCTCCGGAAGCTAAAAGGCTCTAGCAAGCTCAAAGCTTGCAGCTGCTGGGACTTTGACAAACACTGACAATAGTGGTGTCAAAACGCATGATTTCGAGCAGAACGGCAGAATCAGCGTGAACCATCCGGATTTGAAGTTGTTAAGGGTTCTGGGGTGTTGCATCTAGGTGCCAGGCAAAGCCAACTTGGCGAGCAACATGATCAAACACGAACAATGACAAACTACAAAAATCGATAGCATCATTCTGAGGTGCAAAGCTTCATTTTTCAATATGTTTCAACAGTGAAAAACTGATTTATGCGCCTTGCAACGTGCCGGACGTCACACAAATGCGAATCGAAACACAAATCCACGCAGCATTGAGCCGACTGTGGACCTGGACTTGCATGCAAGGCGATGGAATCGAAGACCCGTCTTGGCCTGCATAACTGAAGCCCTGAGCCTTTTTGCATGAAGTCGCACGCGGCTAGATTCTGCGGGCCCAAAAATGCCAAGCCCTAGAGCCACAGATCCCATGTCTTCCAGGCTCATCGCAACTCCTTCCGTTGGGGACCTCTTTACATCGACATCGGCCTGGAGCAGATTGAGGCCGCTACAGACCCCCAACCCCCAACTGCAAGCGCAAGCGGGTAGCTTTTCGATCCGGACCCGAACAGAGGCCCTCGCCCCTATAGGGCGCACAGTCAAAAAGAACATGCCCTTTTTAGTGGCGTAGTCACTTGTTGCAGATCTTCGCAGGTGGATGAACGGAGGCGCTGTGTGATGGTCGACGGTCCATCCTCGTTCTTTTACTGCCGCGCCCTTGGAAATTGTTCGGAAATAGGTTCAACGGCGGCAGAGTCTTCAGAAACTTGCAGGAGGATGTTGCTGTCACGCTCGACACTATCCGAGGACATATCACGGCCCTTAGTACCAGGCCCACGGTAGCAAAAAAGCGAACGGAACGAAAACGGGCTGAAAGCGTCCACATGGTCAAAGCATCAATCGCTTCATGAGTCACTCGGTGTCTTCTTCATAAGCGACTTCTCGACCAAACCCTGGTTGAAGTAGGAGCTCAGGGTGATAGTGGTGTTGGTGGAAGCGATGGCGGCACCAATGATAATGATGGAGGTGGTGGTAATGGTGGTGCTACTGGTGGTGGTGCTGGTAGTGCTGGTGGTGCTGGTAGTGCTGGTAGTGCTGGTGGCTGTGGTGGTGTTGGTGGTGGTGCTGCTGCTGGTGCTGCAGCTGGTACTGGTGGTGGCACTGCATGGTGGAGGTGTGTGATACTGGTGATATCGATGATGGTGTTGGCAACGGGCACGGTGGTGCTAGTGAGCCCTCACTTCGTGGCATCGCACGCGGGAATTTGGATAGCAACGGCCTGAAAAGATCCTGCAGAGCAAGTTGCTTCCATCGCACGATGGTTAGAGGGTGCCCGAGAGTGCCTGTCAGCACCCGCGCTTGCACTTGCATCGTTATCCTACTCATACTCCTACCACTCCTACCACTCCTA